TGGAGTTCTCTTTTTTGTGAGTTAATGTGTCTAAACTTTACGGTAAAGTGAGACTGCGTGTTGCACAGAACTTAGAACTACTAGTAGTAGTAGTACTAGTAGTAGAGAAGCATTTGAACAGCATTCAGGGGAATTAATAATTATTTATTACAGATTTGAGATAGTGAGATACAGGCTAAATCCAAAAGTCAAGAGCGTTGATGAGTTTAGTAGGTAGTAAATACAATGTGTTTGTTTATTATTATTTTATTACTGAAACGGCCCAAGTGTAGGCTGTGATGCTCTATGCTGGATCTTTCCATGCAAATTGACGTGTGTTGAGTCTGTTGACGCACGTTTGTACGAATCTCCGTCCTGTAATCAGGTTTCTGCTGCGCGCCTTGACCGATAAAATAGATGCAAACACGATCACCACCGCAAAACAAACCCAACCTTTTCTTTAAATGCCTGCATGAGCCCGACATTCTCCTCTTGTGACATGTTGTATTCAGCTCAAGCACGCTTGACTCGTAAGTGGGGTGTGACCAGCCGAAACGCAAATATTCAGAAAAATGAGAATTTAACGTCAAACTGAATTTAGTGAGTAGCTTGCCGCAAAATGGCGTGAGATCGATGGGCGACGCCCGGACCACAGCGCCACCTAGACTGCTACTAGCTCCCACCTCTCGGCTTAGTTACTCGAGGGGTGACCGCGGACCGAGTAATCGATGTGAGAGCGAGTACTAGTCTAAGCGCCACCGAGATGATGTTTGTCGGATATACGCATTTTACTTTCTACCAAGATGCCTTCTATCATCTATGTTCTGATTGGTCAATTACACTCACAAGATGTCTGCGCCCATAGCACTCGTGTTGGTGTTGGACAAGCGTACAAAACTGTGCTGAAGGTGCAATAATTACGCTTATAATCGACTAAAATACGCGAATCTCCTAAATATATCACGCACGCCTAACGTGCTCTCTTAATTATATTGCAACGATCCCTACGCGCCAAATATGGCGACAGCCAAGCGATTATTAATAAATGACGGCAACTGCGAGACTGGAAATGATGAATCTCTGGTCGGTGCCAGTGGCAGTGAAGCCAAAAGACTTAAATGTGATGACAAAGAAGTTGCAGGTGACGCCGAATCGCCTTTATACTTCCCCAAAGAGGTTGATGTTGGCATTACAGAATACGTCGGCCGCCACCAAGGATTTTTTGGGGTTGTTAAACAAAGGTAATTATTAATCAAGTCAACCCTGCGCCTGCAGAACCTCCACCGCAACCCTAGCTGTTTAAAGTGTTTTAATACGAATCAGTCATTAGCCTGATCAGGCACTATGGCTGTTTTCCAAAAATGGCTGAGGGTGGTTATGTTTTACATGGTGATAAAATGGTTTAATTATTCACCTACAACAGTGTTAGAGCTTTAAAATATAAACCTCTCGCCAAACTGAGCGAGTGAGTCAATAATTGTTAACTCGCCCAAACGGAATCTGTACTCGCTCAAATTTTAAAACAAAAATGCTTGTCAAACAATAGTGAAAAAATAGACTATGAGGGTGGGTTCGGGAAGGGGTCCCTGATAAGGCGGGGTCCGGGGGCCCTCTCCGGAATTTTGCGTGTGGAAATTACACCGCTTAGATGCAATTTCCTGCACTCTGAGACAGCATTATTAAACAATCTTTATCACAAAAACATCTCTTTTGAATCGAGTATTTTAATCTTTGGGGACACCAAAGACTAAAATACTTACTGGTACTTAAAAAAGAGAAACATAAACTTCAAATTGCTGAGGGTTGAACTGCTCAGTCTCTGCCAAGTTGTGCCAGTACAATGCTAAGGCAAAGTAATGTGGTTAATAAGTTAATCTATCTGCCAACGGAATTAACACAGCTATAGGCATCAACGCTTAATTATTTTCAGATCTTTACAAAATTTACTTGCAATCTATGAGCCGTTAAGGTCCTCTTTTGGTTCAGTGCATATCATATTACCAGGAGTGTATAATATAGAGATCTATATTATATAAATAGATAGATAGGTAGATATATATATATATATATATATATATAGATAGACTCCCCCAATATTATTTTCACTCGACATTGGCGAGCGGGCGAGTGCCAAGCTCGTTCGCTGTACAATGAATGTATGAAACGGTACAGTAATCGTTTATTCACTTTAATAGTATATTGGAACGTGGAAACTTCAAAGAAATTTACCGTAAAATGGGACCAAAATATTCAATGGTCTGTCGGACCATTGACTTTGAAAATCTGATGGTCCTCCTGATTATTTGATGGCCCCGGACCATCGGACCATCGCTTATTTCGACCCCTGCTTACTATTGAAATTATATGAATTTATGTATTTGATGGCACTACATAAAGCAATCAATTATAATCTAATATAATTTTTCTTACAGATATTCAGATTTTGTAGTTAATGAGGTTGACACGTCAGAGCAAGTGCTTAGACTTAATGATGTATCCAAACCAGAATGTGCCAGTACTGTGAGAATGGTAAGACCAGATTTATACACTTCAGGGGTGATTTAATTGCATCTTACATCATTTGGGGTGCAAATAATAGCCTATAATATTTATCTATTGCTGATTTAAATATCTCGTACACAATAGTTTTTATTTATTCAATTATGGCTATAAGCATTATAATACCTTGTATGATGACTTGTGCAATTTTATGTGTTTTATGTAATTAATAGTGCATCAGTCGAGTTTTCATATTAAATCTTTGTACATGTCAGTGAAATTTTTTCCTTTATTTGCTAGAAAACTAAAAGTACTGAGGGGATCTTGTCAGAGGAGGACTTAAAGAAGCTTGATGGGCTAGAAGCTGACGGAGTACCAGTAACATTAAACGTGGTAAAAACTTTATTTGATCTTCACTATTCCATGAAATGGTCACTATACTGTCTGCGAGCCTCATATTTGTAATATATAGGGCATTTCTCTCACAATCACCATCAATTAACCGTTTGCTCTAGGTTGATGCTGAAAACAAAGCCATTAGGACGAAAGTACACAATGTCATATCTCAACTCTACATGTCATTTGATAGCGAAACAATTGAGAAAGATGGGAAAAAGGTCATTGTTGTCAGCAAAAGTAAAGGTATGGGATATAAGTATACAAGTATATTTTTTGATGCCCTATACATGTTTCTGTGAGTGACCATGCACAAGGACTGATAATCCTTGCATACATTTAATTTATTATATGTTGTTAGGAATCATTTACTTGTTCGGGTGTAATCCTGTTGGGTCGGATCTAATGACTAGTTACCTTTTGTGTTGAAGGGTTATCAGTTGTTCATTTTCTTATTTCATGTTCCCAGGAAATCGGCGATCAGCCCATTCAGATTGGCCGTCTACGAAGGGTCAGTACTGTCACTTTCTACTATATAAAGAGAACAGAGATACAGCTGATGCTATCAATACCATTGCACGACTACTAAGGTATGTAATCTTTAGTAATATTTGGAATGAAGCGTGTTTGGAATATTATGTATTCCCACTTTCAGTGAGGATTCTATTTATACTGAAGTACACCTACTTTTTTTTATCTTTCTTCAACTGATTATGATGTGCAACTATTTATAAGTGATGGTTAAACCTGGGATAATGTAACAGTTTTCCAATCTTTTAAGCTTGTGTTAGCATATGCTTACTGTTGTTAAACGTTTCAATGTTATACTTCTTTTAGGCAAAAAAATGGAAGCTTTGCATATGCTGGTACAAAGGACAAGCGGGGTAAAACAACACAAGCAGTGTCTGCCTACAGGTAGGTGTCTACAACACAGGTTATATAACTTTTCTTATTTATCACATGCTTATTGAAGCATTTAATTTGTTTACAGAAAGTTTATGCAAACCAGGCAGGATGTATAGTATTTTGATAGTTGCAAACAGCTGAAACGTTCGCAGATTGCTTTTTTTATATACAACCATGTATCGTGTATCAGAGCGCTTAAATCAATATCTGATATACTTGCTCTGCGTGTACCTGACTTTTTACCTACATTCCTCAGATCAAGGCAAACCCAGTCTAGGTGATTCAGAAACTGTCAGAGAATGATGTTGCATTAGTGATATTAGACACTACTGGATGTGGGATTTATGAGTAGGAATACATATCTCATCTACCAGTCATGCACTTTGCTACTTTGGTTGTTCCCTCAATCTGATTCTTTTTACCTGGTTTCAGAGTGAGAGCAGAGCTGTTACATGGGCTGAACACAACACTCAAGGGCATCACACTGGGAAACTTTCATTACGAAGCAAAGACTCTTCGATTGGGGCAGCTGAAGGGCAATCAGTTCACGATCGTGTTACGGTAATAAAACTCCAAGCAAGCTAGACAACGCCTCACGGTCGATCGTTTTCAATGTGGCATCTGCCATCGTGTTTTTATGCTGGAGTTGAGAGAAGCAATACTTGTAGGCATAGTTAATTGAATAATGTTATATATATATATATATATCAAGAGTACATAATAGAGAAGAGTATGACACTGTTTTAACAGCGTTTTGCATAGTTTTCAACTTGTAAATATTCTATCAATATGTGAATAAATATATTCAAACTTTACCTTGTTTTCGTCTATGATTCTCCTTTAATCATATGACACCACCAATTTACCTGAAAATCGTATGTGTTCTTCAAAAAAGTTCTTTGAATACGACACGGTTTCACACAGTTTTCCCAAACGTTTGCATCTCCACGGCCAAACTTGATATAGCGGCGGCAGCACCAGGTTGTAATTACGGGACGCTAGGGGCTGTTGGGGATATTAGGTAAGCACAGTAACAGCACTTGTTTCGCTTCCTTATCATCAGGAACACGATGGCAACACAGCTCAAATCAGCTGCTAGCTCGCAGTGAGCACAAATTTATTTTTAGCACGCTGGAAACGCAATACACACTAAATACAATTCGATGCCTAAAACCCCAACAGCCCCCAGCGTCCCGTCAGAGACAATAGAACACTAATCCGATAACAAAGTTTGGCCGCGGAGATGCAAAAGTTTGGGAAAACTGTGTGAAACCGTGTTGTAATCAAAGAACTTTTTTGAAGAACACATACGATTTTCAGGTAAATTGGTGGTGTCATATGATTAAGGGAGAATCATAGACAAAGACAAGGTAACATTTGAATATATTTATTCACATATTGATAGAATATTTACAAATTAAAAACTATGCAAAACGCTGTTAAAACGGTGTCATACTCTTCTCTATTATGTACTCTTGATATATATATTTATATATATAAATGTATTTTGTTATGTGATTCAGGAATGTCACTAATGCGAGAAATGTGGATGAAGCCATGGCCAGTCTCCGTGACAACGGTTTTATTAATTATTATGGGATGCAACGATTTGGTACCACCACCATTCCTACACACCACGTTGGCAGGTTTGCATAACACTGTTATTGTGAAAATATTAGTTTGTTAATGTCATTTCTTCATCGCTTTACAGGGCGTTGTTATTATGAAGATGTTATTTTGTTATGGCGTATTATTAATTATTATTAATTTAATTTTTATAGGGCACTATTGCTGAGCAAATGGCAGGAAGCTGTTGAGCTTATTCTGAAGCCACGAGAAGGAGGTGATTGTAGCCCGAATTTCAGTGGTAGCCAATTCTTTATTGCCAAATTTGAATTTTCTGTACAAATTTTCCTCACGTTTGTATTTGTTTAGGGAGTGAGTAAAACATTATTTATTGTTAAGCACTGTGTAATGCCATTTGTTTTAATTCTTGACAAAAACAGAAGTTGAATATTAAACAGCTTGCACCTATTAGTTGCTTTACAAGACAGATGAAATATTCACGTGTGCTATACTGTGATTGAGCTTGCATGCGAGATGTAAGAAATGCATCACACTGATTTGGATTACTCGTTGCAGAAAATGATGAAATATCTGAGAGTCGGCGGGTGTTTTGGGAAACAAGAAATGCCAAAGTCGCACTTGAGAAGCTGCACAAGTGGCGATGCGTTGAGGGACAGCTGCTGCGGGGGTTGGCCGGAAGCAGGCACAAGAACGACTTCCTAGGTGCCATCACATCGGTACAGTATATAATCCCTCATCGCTAAATGTGTACTAGGTGCCATCACATCAGTACAGTATAATCCTTCATCGCTCAACGTGTAGTAGGTGCCATCGGCGGGGTGGGCGCAACGACTGTGAGGGGTTGCCGATCACGATCGGTACAGTGGGGAGTGGCCGTCGTGTGTCGTCAGCGAGTTGGTCCGCCAGTCACGTATGAATTTTGGTGGTCCGAGGTGATGAGGCGGAGTGGGCGCGGGGTGCATATGAAGGTTAGGGTGGTAGGGGAGAGTGATTTAGTATATTGACTACAGGGAGCTGGGTGTGGTGAGTGGCCGGTGGCGAGGTAGAAGGAGGGGTTTCGGTTTGCACGTGCGAGCTTGATATTCACCCATGTCTGGCGGAGTCATGGAGGGGACATGGGTTCGGAGAGGAAGAACATGGTCTTCTCATCTTCGGTGTTTGTATTAGTCATATAGATTATTAGTAAGATTTGTGTTGCATGAGGACATGCATGCAGGCATATGCTATAATTAGTGCAGTTGCGCTCGGGTTGTTGCAATGTTGATGCAGATTAGTCGTATACAGGCAAAGGAGTCTGCTATGGTTAAGTTGTCAACGGTCGGACAATTCATGGCGGCAGGATTTTATTTCAGATTCCGCCGCAACTCCCGGCCTCGATGTACGTGTGCAGCAGCTAAGTCAGAGGCAGTGGTGTGGAGGGAGTAGCGGCGGTCGGTCTCTCGGCGCATAATCGACATTCGGCCTGAAGGGCCGCGTCGGGCTGGGGACCTGATTCTTCTGGCCGGTGCAAGGAGAAAAGTAGGCGTTCGGTTTAGTTCGTTCATGAACTGTTCTTGATCTGCATAGATTCAGTCGTATTGCATTCACTGATTATTCTGCAGCTTCGTTTGCAAGTTGCTTGTACGCATTCGTTAGGTGTTTTGTTGGTAAAAAATAATTTACTATTTCCTGTGAGAGAAATTTTGAAGAATGTAAGAAAAATTAAAGGCGGTGATAATCATAATTTAATATTTAGTTTCTTTAATCTAATAATAATTTATAATCTTATAAATAAGATTAAATTATTATAGTTAAAATATCTGTGCATAAAACAAGCTAATATGTATATTATACATGTAATATATTTGTGCTAGATAAATATGTGTAAAGTGTAATGTAAATGATATTATATGACTTATGTAATATTAGAATTCACGAGTCATTGCCGTAGCTTCGCTCACATTTACTTCATTTGCTTTTAGGTGACGGAGATGGTGGAACTGTCGACAATCCTCAGAGAAGCGGGGTCAGAGCACTAACAGAAGACGAAGTGCACCAGTATGACATCACAGACATTGTCTTGCCGCTGCCTGGATACGACATCACCTATCCTGCAAATGAAGGTGAAAAATGGCTGACAGACAGTTGTATTTTGTTAATGTTCCCATTAGCGTTTAGTTTTGCAGCGATTGTTTCTAGTGAAATGAGTCGGTTTATGTATACATGCACTCGTATTTGCAAAGACCTTCCTATGTGTATATATCATTTAGTGGCTTTTATATTAAGCTTTCCTTAGACATGAAACTCTTAATAACAGATTGTGCTGAATATAATAATACATTTGAGGGTGTTCTTAGACTTGTCACTCACATGCATGGCAATTAAAAACACAATTCCTTCTTCCTCTTTAGTTGCAGATTGGTACAAGGAATTGTTGGCCGTTGATGGGTTGAGTTCTGCCGCACTCAAGCACAAAGTCAAGTAATTAATCTTTATTATTGTATATATTTTATTTTATTTAATTATATATTTTTCTCGGCCGCCATCACCTGTGCAAGCCTGAGATATCCTGTAATAAATAGTTAGTTGTTCACTGTCTCCAAAAGGCAGGTGTATTGTGTAACGAGAGAGTCCGGGTGGTCTGGTGAGTTGCCCATCACAGAAGTGTTCAAATATTAGGTCTGAAGAGCTATATAATTAAAGGGCCGTCTATTACTAGTAACAGTGAGTGACATTGTTCTCAAGTGCTTGTCCTCACAGTATGTTATCATATCGTCAAGAAATCTTAGTTTAATACTAGTGTAATGTTTCATGAAAATGCATTGCTCTGACCTGCTTCTATGACATGGGAAGAGTGTTGTGAGTTGGTTGCGCTTCACGTTGAGTGGTGATTTTCTACAGGGATTATGCGCTCCCCGGTGCCTACCGAAAGATCCTCGTGAAGCCGACGAATCTGTCCTGGAAGCTGTATGGTTACCATGACAACACGCTCCCCCTCACGCTCAGTGATCTGGACCGACTGAACATGGTCGATGAGCCGGAGTCCATTGCTGGTGAGAATTATCGAGAGAGAGAAGGAGGAGTGAGAGAGAGGTGTGAGAGGAGAGAGAAGGGAGTGTAAGAAAAACAGATGGAGGGAAGTGAGAGTGAAAGGGAGAAGAGAAGAGGCAAAGGAGGGAGAGGGAGTGAGAGAGAGAGGAGTAAGAGAGAGAGAGAGAGAGAGAGAGTGCATGAGAAAGAGAGAGAGAGAGTGCGTGAGAAAGAGAGAGATAGCGAGAGTGAGTGAGAAAGAGAGAGAGACAGTGCATGAGAGAGAGAGATGGGGAGGAGAGAGAGAAAGCGAGTGATCGAGCCTACACTAACTTTAGTTTGAGTTTGTGCGTGCGGCGTGTGTGATAAATCGCTGATGTCGTGGCATTTTCAGATGGCCTGTTTGAGGGCCTAAGGGTGGAGTTCTCGTTACCGTCCTCGTCATATGCGACGATGGCGCTGAGAGAAGTGCTGAAGATTGACACGTCTGCTGCGTACCAGACAACCTTAAACGATAAAGCCACGGGGGCTGATGGCGGAAGAAGCCAGGCCACGTTAAGCGATGAAGGAGCCAGGGCTTCAGCAACCCACGAGAATAGTATCAGTGATGAGGCATCTAGTACTGCTACCCCCGCAGGCCAGGTTTCTGCTAGTGATTCGGCGTCGCACGACGAGAATAGCGGGCAGGATAACTGACAGCAGACACACAGGTGGTGACTTTATTAGGGACGTAATTGCCAATGACGACAGTAGACTGCTTTTAGTTGTGGCAACTGCCGCCGGGGAATGCCTGAAGGATGCTATCTAAACCCTTTTAGTGCTGGGGTGTTCTAGCCCGCAGTGCAGGTCCCACGCAATACAATAATAAAAATTATGACCCGCGGTGCAGGTCACACGCACTGAAAAGGTTAACTGTTAGTGGCATTCTAAATGGCTGTAATTTACACAGTGATGTGCACTGATTCAACCGGTTGACTAACTGCGATCGGCAGAGAACGTTTGTTGCCTTCGAAATGTGTGACTGGTGTTGTTATGGCTGTTAATGTTATCAGGAACATACTGAAACTGTATAGCTGTATTCGTGCTGTTATACTCTGATAGTCTGATATAAATGTTATCAAACAATTATGAAACTATGTGGTAGCAGATGGCGCCACCAGTCTGAGCATTAGTATGTTGGTCAAAATCGGCGGTTAGGACAAATTTTGATGCCTGATCGTAGTAATTTATAGTCATCATCTTTCCAGAAACTTATTCATCTTGTTAGAAATTCATTGGCTATACACACTGTCCTGATCTATGCGTGTTAATATATAGATGGCATCTATTATGATACTACAACTGTTTGGGTTGACGTTGCATAGAAAGGTTTCGGTTTGCACTACCGAGCTTGGATATGTCACCATGTTCTCTCGTGGGAGGGGAACATATGCTATAGAAGAACTATGTCTTCTCATCTTCGTTTTGTATTAGTCATATAGATTATTATAAATTTGTGTTGCATGAGGACATGCATTCACATATGCTATAATAGCGCAGTTGGTCTTGTCTTCAATTTGAGTGCAATTATCGTATACAGGCCAAAGGAGTCGCTATGGTAAGTTGTCAACAGCGGACAATTCATGCGGCAGGATTTTATTTCAGATTCCCCGCAACTCACGGCTCATGTACGTGCACAGCTATCAGAGCATGGTGTGGAATACCGTCGTCTCTCGCCGCATAATCACATTCGGTCTGAAGCCCATCGCTGGCGACCTGATTCTTCTGCCGTGCAAGGAGAAAAGTAGGGTTCGTTTAGTTCGTTCATGAATGTTCTTATCTGCATAGATTCATCGTATTGCATTCACTGATATTCTCAGCTTGTTTGCAGTTGCCTGTACGCATTCGTTAGGTGTTTGTTGGTAAAAATAATTTACATTTCTTGAGAAAAATGTGAAGAATGTAAGAAAAATTAAAGGCGGTGATAATCATTGTTAGGGAAAAAATTTGGCCTTTCGCGAATTCTGAGCTGTAGTAATTTATATGTCATCATCTTTTCCAGAAACTTATTCATCTGTTAGAAATCATTGGCTATACACACTGTCCTGATCTATGCGTGTTAATATATAGATGGCATCTATTATGTACCTTGTTGCGCCTCACTCATGGTTGCCTCTTCTCGCCTCCTCTCTGTCTGTTTCTCTCTCTCTTTCTCTCTATCTCTCTCTCTCTCTCTCCCTGACTCTCTCCCTCTCTCGCTAGCTCTCTCTCCTCTCTCTCACTCTCCAGCTTCCTCTGTCTATCTCTCGCTCACACTTTCTCTCTCTCTCTCTCTCTCTCTCTCTCTCTCTCTCGTCTCTCTCTCTCTCTCGCTATCATCTCTCTCTCTCTGCTCTCCCCTCTCTCCACGTCTCATCTCATCCTCTTCGCTATCCCGTTCGTCCGCCGCTGGTCCGTCCGTCCTCTCGTATTTTCCCTCCTCTTCCGTGCTCTCCTGGTCGATTCTCTCGCGATCCCGCTCTCCTCTCTCTCTCTTCTCTCGCTTCCTCTGTCTCTCTCTCTCTCTCACTCTCTCTCTCTCTCTCTCTCTCTCTCTCTCTCTCTCTCTCTCTC